TGCGCGACTGTTGTTGTCAATAAATTCGATGTCAAAAATGTACTCTTAAGATATGTCGACGAAGGATAAGTTGAAATAGTTACCACCGAAGTACTCGTTAAATTGTTGTCTGTTGTAACATTTTCATTAAAAATGGTCGAATAATTCAAACCAGATGTTGTTGAAGTATTTTCGATAGATACAGTCGCTGTAGTATCATTAGATGAGACTGTAGATGTTTCGAGAATGGATATTGGCGAACTGGTAAATGATGTTGATGAGTCATTTGTTTCTGTCGACGTTGTAATATATGAAGAGGATGTTGAATGATTTGACGAGATGGTATCGGTAAATGTTATACTTACAGGAACTGCTGTTGACTGTGATTGGGTAAAATATGTCGTGTGATTTTCATCAGTAGTTCTCGATATATTTTCCATTTTTGATGACGATGTAGTCGACAACATAGTCTGCGATGAAGTAGAAGTCTCTGTCATTTCGGTGAGCATTGTAGAAAATATCGTTGTATCAGTATCGAACGTAATTTCATATTGGACAGACTGCTGATTTGTCCAACGATCAAATATATGTAAATAGTCATCATATCGATCGCCATCAAGTAGATGCACAACTCGACGAGTAGTCCATGTATTAACTAGAATATCTTGGTCTTGAATAAGTCGGTGAGACGATCGAATTGTTCTCATTGGCCAAATATTTTCTGTACGTATATATACATATGCAGAATTTGGAACAACGATAGTTGGTGTTGCCAATATAATAATGGTATATTGGTTGATGATTATCACACTAATATTTAGAATGTGATAGACTGGAAATGCTAATGTTGCATTTGTACTACTTATTACTGTGTCAGGTATTGTTTGTACATTGGCATTTTCCATAACAAGAAAATCAATCAGATCATCATTCAGAATTTCATTAAGTATATTCAATGAGACAAGACGAATGAGTGTGTGTGTAGTGAATGAATTGATAAGAGATAATTTTGAATCACCATTTGGATTTGTTTCAGTAAATGAAGCATTGAAACTTATAAATTTTCCTGCAAGAGATGCTAACATTGTCCAACGAATGTTTACACTCAAATTCGGTTTGACATCGCCAATATTTGCCTGTAACGATGGATTTGTAGATATTTCATTATTGATATGCATAGAAACGATTTGGAAATTAATTAGAAGACCTTTTTCATTTTCAATAATTTCAGGCTGAGAAGATGCGATACGAAAATGTTTTATCAGTCCGAATCCACTATTTGTTACAATCATGCCAAGAGTAAATGGTTGCGGTTCTTGAACAAACGAATCTGTTGACAGAGGATCAGGTCCAGTAACATATTTCTCAAGAAAATAGGCAATATCAAGTAAAGCTTCAGGTTCAACTTCAATACTATCAGGTATTAACTTTATGTTAATGTGTTGTCCATCAATAACATATGAAAAATGACCACCTATCCAGTAAGTAGTTGTTTGATTATATGCCGCAGATGCGTAGGGTATAATTAACCAAGTAATACTGCCTGATTGCGATGGTTCTAAAGAGCCATATCCTTGTGAATCGTTTATCAATGCACCACTAAATAATGGTTTTCCAACACTAAAACGATCGGTTGTGTTCAGTTTGTTCGTACCATCTGTAATTAAAATGTCTAATTTGATTTGTTCAAGTGATGTATCACCAGAGTTGTCAAGTTCTAAACGAGCTTCGAAAGCTTGTCGGGTAGTAGTTACTCTTTGCATAATACGAATTTTAACTGCGGCACAAACACCACGTTGTTGTTTTGCATCTTCTACTGC